CCATGGGGTAAGGGCCACCAGGACAGGAAGACCAGGCGTAAGGACCACCAGGACAGAAAGTCATCACTTGGCAGATGATGCTGACCCCTCTCCAGCTAGCAGTCCTGCTTCTCAAGGGCAGCGCCCAGCATGTGCACAGGACCTGACTCTGCCTCCAGCTGTCTGTGGATGTGCCCCGCTTCCTGGGACTCTGCTTCTTCATCTGCAAAATGGGGCTCAAGGGCCATGTCCCAGGACAGAAGCTAGCCTGACCTGTCCACACACAGTGAGGTCAGAGGTCAGGACCCTAAAGCCGCTGGCCTAGTGACTTTAGCCACACAGCCAAACCTTCTGCACCTTGGTTTCCCTCTCTGTGAGAAGAGGGAAGTAACCAGATGCCAAGAGGGTCACCAAGAGGGTGAGTTATGAGACAGCTGGAGCCACGCCACAAGCCGAGCATGTTTATTACACAGGTCACACAAACGAGGCCACAGGATCCTCCCGACAAGCTGGGGCATAGGGTACAGACACCTTAGGCAGTTGTCACTGGGCGAAAGGACAGAGTGGGTCTGAGGGCACAGCGTGTGGACAGGGCAAGACTGGGCACTGGGATGCAGAGGCCTTCCGGTGAAAGGGGCATCTCATGAGGTGACCCCCTGCAAGGCCTGTGTGGCCGGGTCATCCTGAGGCACCTGCAGGTTGGTTTTACTGGGGACAGTGCTTGGCTCTGTGTCCTCATGGTCCAGGCTCCTCAGCCAGGCCTGAGCCTTGGGCGTGAGCTTCGTGCAGGATGAGGGACAGCCATGCCAGAGGCCACCGAGGAGCTAAGCACAGCAGCTCAGGCAGAAGCAGCAAGGCCAGGACTGGTGGAGGAGCCATGGGGAGAGGGAGAGGAACAAGAGTGGGAGAGAGAAGGGAGCGGGGTGCAGACAGAGCCAGCAATAGAGGGGACACTGACCAGGGCTCTGGTCTGAGCTGGTGGCAGTAGGAGCCTTCACCCCAACCAGGAACCCAAGAACGCTACACGTGGCCTGCCCTGCAGGGATTCTGTGGGTACAGCTGGGCATCGGGAGAAAGAGGTGGCTGACTGCACTTGGGGAGTGGCAGGCTTCCTCCTGAAGCACTAATAGGAGCAGCAGGGGTCTCAGCCCCACCAGACCTGTTCTTTTTTAACATCCTGTGGGACTGGCTGAGTTCACTTCCTGGCACACAAAGCCAGGAGTCAGCAGGTCCCAGACTTTCCTCACAGCCCGGGAGGGCCCTGCTTGGAGAGGGAAAGGGTGGAATGCACCTGGGCTGGGAAGCCAGAAGAAGGTCAAATCCTGGGCCCCACAGTCCCTCCTCCCCACCCGCCCAAGGCGATCAGTGGGAGGAAGTGAGATCACTCACTCAGGCTCCATGTCTCTGAGGGCTGCCCATTCCCAGATCCAAGTCAAGCTCCACCCAGGCCCAAAGGCCTCAATGACCTCTGATCCAAACAAACCAGGGTGGGTGACTGCTCCCCCACTGCTGCTGGCTCCTGAGCTCTGCCCCAAACCTCACCAATGCACCCTCTAGCCCGTGGAACCCTCATGTCTAAAGTGTGGCCCTTAGCACAGGCTACTACTCAGAACCATCTTCCTGTCTGGTCACCTGCCCTCCCAGGAGAACAAAGGACAGAGGGTGTGTCTCTCTGCGGCCCACAACAAGGCCCCCCACCCTTCCTGATGAGAATCCTGGGGCCCTGAGGATCAGGGGCCCCAAGGCCATGGCTAGGATTGCAGCTCACGTAGACTCCCAGCTGCACCTGCTGCCCTACTGCCATCCCACCCCATCCTGGGGTTGGTGGCCCACACTTCTTCCTCCCTCAGAATTTACTGGCTGCTCACCCTCTGCTCTCAACTCAGCCAGGCCCCCCTCAGATGCCAAGCTGGTCCCAGGTGCCATCTGCAGCAGCCCCTTCTGACTCTGTCATCACAAGCTGGCAGGTGAATGCTACAGTCCCACCTTCCACCTGAGGACCCAGCTGCCCGTGGGACCCAGGATTCAGCAGCTCAGGAGCAAGAGCCAGGACAAGTATGGACCCGCACGGAGGCTATACAGGGCGGGGGAATGAACGGCGATGCCCCTCCCGACAGGGCCGTGTCCTCAGCCACGCGGCAGCCCGCCCACCTGCCCACAAACCTCCTTCAGCTCCTGCGCCACGGAGGCCAGGCGCTCGCCCTCCGACTGCGCATTGGTTAGCACGTTGCGCAGCTGCTTCAGCTCAGTCTGTAGCTCCAGCACCCTGCGCTCATAGTACTGCTCCTTGGAGGCCGACTCCTGGATCAGACTCTCCTCCCGGCTCTCGCCGTCCGCAGCCACCTTCCTGTGGTTTGTGTGCACCTGGCCAAATGCCTGCATGGAGAAGAGACCCCGTGAGAGTGAGCCAGGCCAGCTGCTCCTGGAAGGTGCATGGAGCCGGACACAGAGGTAGCCCAACTCCCGATGGGGAAACAGGCTCTGGGATGTGCCCTTCTGCTGCCTGATCCTGACCCATCTGTCCACTCATCCTGGGTGACACCAATGCCCATGTGAGGGGACTGGAGCATGAATCGGGACTCAGAACCAGCCGACAGGCCACCATTCATGCCTGACTCGGGGGACCCTACCTGCCTGCCCAGAACCTGGGTGCAGAGCTGAAACTGCCAGACAGAGGGGAAAGGATACCGCCACCGCCAGACCCAGTGAGGGCTTTAGGCTGTGAGAGGAGAAGGGGCACAGCGTGTGTGTATGTGGGGGGTGAGGCTCAGGGAGGGGCCCCCATGGGTGAGAACCCTGGGTCAGCTGGGGCCTCCCGTCATGTCATGTCCCCCCAGGCGAGAGGCCAGGCCCCTAGGAAGTGCCTCTGTTTCTTCCTTCCCACCCTGCACACCCAGGAGCCAGGACTATGCTGTGTGCCCTACCCAGTGCACCCTTCCCACTGGCCACTGCATGCAGACCCTGTCTCTTTACAGGGCTCCTGGCCCACAGAATGGAGGAAAAAAATGAGAGAAGGCTACTGAACAGCAAGGAAATTGATGTCTTGAGACAAATATGAATGTTTTCACTCATTTACTGTGAGCATCTAGGCTAACGGGCCAATATGACTAGACTGGTATAACAGACTAATAAGTTCAGGAATCCAACCCAAGAAAAAAAAACAATTGGGAAAACGTGCACAGCTATGTATAAGGATGTTACTAGGCAGGACTATTTAAATATAAAAAGTCAAAACGTACTAACAGCTTGTTTCTCTACCATGGGAGAGACTGGCCAAAAGAAGCAGGGTCTGCTCAGGGTAACCACTCACCCTCCCCAGGGCAGGTCTGGCCCATCTGCCCCCTGCCACCAACCCAGCAGTTCTGTGAAGACACTGTTCCTTTTTAAACTACGTCAGCTCAGCCCTATGATTTCTGCTGCTGTCCTCCGCCTCCACCCTGGTCCCAGGGAAAGCCTGAAGCATAAATCGTGTCTACGTAGGAACTGTCCCATCCTGGGTGGCAGCCCCGACCCCTGGCTGCACACCAGCCCTAGGCCTGCCAGAACCGGCCAGGCTTCCAGGAGCTCAGGGAAGCATTGGCCAGCACAGGGTGTCTTTCCAAACCTCCAGACGAGCCTAACTGAGTGAACAGAGCAGAACACACTCACAAACCTCAAACCGAAACGCAGGCATCTCACAGGCTTCGTATCATCCTCAGAGGCCAACCAGAGGCTGGACATCTAAACGCTGCATCACACGCTCATACACGATTCCAGGCCTGTCAGCTGCAGGTTGAATCTGCCTCCCCAGATCCCAGCGGGCCCCCCTCATCCCACCCCTCCATTTCCCCCAGCACCACAGCAGCTTTTCAAAGACAATGGAGACTTGCATCATCCACCAGACAAGGTCGCTGAAGGGACTGGATCTACCTCCCATGTGCAAAAACTAAAATCAACTGGGAAATTGATGTGAATAACCATGGTTTTCAAGTCACTGGACACCAAGTAGTGAGAGGCAGGGCACAGGTGAGCTCCATGATAGCCCCCACCCCTTCCAGAAGGAACTCTGACAGCAGAGCATAAAGTGTGAGAATCAGTCAGCAGGCTTGAGTGGAGTAGGAGGTGCTGGAAGACAGTGGACAGGCGGCAATGGTGGCAGACCTGCAGACAGAGGGGCCCTGAGTTTTCTCAGGGGATGGTCAGTGCAAGTCTGTGAGCAAGCCACTGAGGCTGGAAAAGGGCCACCAGCAAGATAGAGGGAACCATCCCATCACTCGCACAGGTCCTGCCCAAAGTGGTCGGTCCTGACCAACAAAGCTTAAAGGCAAAATCGGAAAGGATCCAACTACATCCCAGAACAAAGCATAAGCACACACAGAAATAACAGCGCCATATCCCAACACGAAAAAGCCAGAGCCTAGCACCCCATCCCAAGTGATGTAGCCCACAAAGGAGCAGGGAGGCAGCCTCGCAGGATGTGCAGACTTGAGACTGACATTGACACTGGGAGATGGGGCAGGACTGATCCCACAGGTTCAGGAAGCCACAGGTACAAAAGATGGAATGACAACGTGTGAGATGAAAGGGACACTAGATGGGATTAATTGTAGATTACACGATGCAGACGAAAAGGTGAGTAAACTTGAAGAAACAGCAGACTACCCAAAAGGAAACACACAGAAAAAAAAGACTGCAAAAGCAAACAGCATGAGTGAGCTGTGGCGCTTCACGAAGCCTAATACTCAGATAGCTACAGTCCGGGACAGGGAGTGCGGGGGGGTAGAAGTCAGGACAGAAAATAAGAAATAATAGCTAAAAATTTTCCAAATTTGATGGAAACTATAAATTGACAAATACTAGCAACCCATCAACCCCATATCACAAAATTGTTCAAAACCAGTAATGAAGAGAAAATACTAAAATCAGCCAAAGTAAAAAGGAGACACAACTTATAGAGAAGCAAACAGATGAATGACAACGGATGTCTCTGACAAGCCTGGAGAGTGGAGCAACATCTTGAAAAAACAAAAAACCTATGTTAACCAGAGCGCTATACCCAGTTCACCAATAGAGATGAGATTAGACTTCAGACACACAAACACTGACAGATTCTATCACCAGCAGACCTGCATTACAAGATGTTAAATAAAATCCTTCAGGCAGGAAAAAACAATACCAGATGGAAATTTAGATTTACAAGAAGGAGTGAACAGCACCAGAAATGTGGGTAAATATGAAAGGCTTATTTTTCTTATTATTTAAATCCCTTTAAGAGATAATTAACTGGACATTTAATGCAACCCCTATCAAAATACCAATGGCCTTTTTTGTAGAAATGGAAATTCATATGAAATTGCAAGGGGCCCAAAATAGCTAAAACAATTTTTAAATACTCCTAAGTAATTAAAAAGAACAAAGTGAGAGCCTCAAATTCTCAACTTTGAAACTTACCCAATATGAGGCTCCAGTGATCAAAACAATGTGGTACTGGCATTAAGGAGACAATCTAGACCAGTGGAACAGAAGAGCCCAGAAATTAACCCTCACACATGTGACCAATTTATTTTTGACAAGGGCACAAAGATAATGATGAAAGAATAGTTTTTCAACAAATGGTGCTGGGACAAATGAAAACCCACATGGAAAATAATGAAGTTGGATCATATATACCATATACAAAAATTAACTCGAAATGGACCAGAGCCTTAAATATAAGAACTAAAACTCCAATGCTCAGAAAACAGGGATAAAGCTTCATGACCTTGTTGACAATGGGCTCTTACATGTGACACTAAAAGCATGAGCAACAAAACAAAAAAATAGAGAAGCTAGACTTCATCAAAATTTAAAAATTTGAGTATCAAAGGACACTATCAAGTGAAAAGACAACCTACAGAAGAGGAGAAAATATTTTCAAATCTTATATTTGATAAGGGTCTAGTATCCAGACTATATAAAGGATTCCTTTAACTCAACAATGAAAAGATACGTAACCCAATTAAAAGATAGACAAAGAACTTCAGACATAGAAAATAGACATTTTTCCAAAAAAGAAACAAATGGCCAACAAGCACATAAAGACACTCAACATGAGTAGACGTAGTTAGGGAAAGGCAAGTAAAAACCTCAGTGAGACAGCATCTCACACCCACTAAGATTTAAAAAAAAAAAAAAGGAAAATAACAAGTGCTGGCGAAGATGTGGAAAAACCGGAACCCATACACATTGGTGCAGCTGCTGTGGAGAACAGCCTGGTAGACACCCCCAAAAGTTAACCATAGAATTACCATATGATCCTGCAATTCCAATCCTAGGTATAGATACAAGAGAAATAAAAATACACGTCCACACAAAAACTTGTATATGGATGTTCACAACAACCAAAAGGTGGAAACAACCCAAATTCCACCAACTGATGAATGGATAAATAAAATGTGGTCTATCCATAAAATGGAATATTATTTGGTAATAAAAAGAAATAAATTATTGATACATGGTAGAACATACATGAACCTTGAAAACATTCTGCTAAGTGAAAAGACCCGTCAGTCACAAAGGACCACATGTTGTATGATTCCATTTACATGAAATGTACAAAACAGGCAGACCTATAGAGACAGAAAGTAGATTAGTGGCTGCCCTGGGCTGGGGGTGGAGTTGGGAGGTTGGAGGGGGTGACAGCTAAGGAGTGTGGGGTATCTTTTGGGACTAATAAAAATGTACTAAAATTAGTTGTGGTAGATGCACAACTAATATGTGAATATACTAAAAACCACTGGACTGTACATTTAAAATGGGTGAATTGTATGGTATGAATTATGTAAATAAATAAAGCTATTAAAGTGCAGTTGTTTTTAAAAGTTAAAGGATGGAAAAAAGATAAGCCATGCTAACACTTGTCAAAAGGAAGCTGGAATGGCTCTATTAATATCGGATAAAGTAGATTTCACAGCAAAGAATATTACTAGAGATATCATTTCATAATAAGGAGGTTAATTCACAAAGAGAACATAATAATTCTAAATGTTTACACACCTAATAACAGAGCTTCAAAACACATGAAGCAATACTGATAGAACTGCAAGGAGAAATAGCTGGGAGAGTTCAACACCTGTCTCAACAATCCACAGAACCAGTAGACAGAACATCAGTAAGGACACAGGAGGCACAGACAGCACTACTAACTATTCTGACCAGATTGTTGACAACAGCAGCACTAGTTCCTTCTTCTCAAGGGCACATGGAACGTTTACCTGGACAAACCAAATATCTGGGCCATTAAACAGGCCTCAAACTTAAAAGGATTAAAGCCATAAAAAATATGAGCTCTGACCAAAGGGAATTAAGTGAGAAATCAATAACTGAAAGATATCTAGAAAATCCCCAAATATTAACAA